CTTGGTAATTAATATAGGCTGGCATATCGTTTTCGCTCAGAATCGTTTTTGGTAAACAATGTTTCGTTATTGAAATTAAAATTCAACGCATTAAACATTACAATGACCTACTCAATGCCGAAGTACACTGGCGACGTCCTAACCTAACTACTGTACACCTGCTTGTTAGTTGTTATGCTATATAATACATCAATTTTTACTTTGGTTAATAATATTTATGTTTTTCCGTTTACTGTTATAACCTTTATTTTCTAAAAGTCTTCCTATGTTCTTTTAAACTTTTTTAAGTTTCTGTTCGTTCGTAAAGCATAAGTTCTTTTTCTCTTCAACATAAAACAATTACACTTTCTAGATTCAAAGACGTTGATTTTTTTGGATGGCTTCTAATTGTTCGCCATGCAGTTTTTATAATATTGTAATTATTACTTATTACATATATTATTATTATACAGTGATTTAACATTTTAACAATATTAGAAATCTTTTTGATAACCATAAATCAAATTTATTCGATTCTATTTAACAAAATTCTGTATACCTAATACAAATTTTATTTATGCCTCATGGTAATTCGTAATATAGAAGTCGCGCTGTATAATTGTAAGTAAAAGAAAATACCTATAAATAGGTATAATCTTTATAATTTAGAAATTAAAATATTTATTTTAAGAAAAATGACGATTTTGAAAATAACACTTGATTGTTTTAAATTAAGATGATAAGATACAATAATTTTCTAGCATACAGTATATTGTTTGAGACATGAGTTATACTTAATATGTCTTATGAAAATAAAAATACAATTAGGTATAGACAATTTTTTTTAAATACTTTACGGACTTACGGTTATGACATAGCTATGTAGGACGTAGCCACGTAGGTAAATACATTTTAAAATTATGAAAAATCAGTAATGTTCCAAACATCTACGAAAAGGTGTGTACAAGGGTTCTATATCCCGAGAGGGAGGTGGTTTTTCAGAAAATAAAAAAACTTAATGGTACTCATTGAAAATATTTTATTTTGCATAATTATCTATTATAATACTTATTTAGCATTATTATTTTTATCCATTATAAATTATATCCAATACTCAGTATCCAATACTTAAATAATAACTGTAAACGCCTAGGTTTTTTCTAAATTCTTCTATTTTACACCTTAACTCGGAAGAACTAAAATAATATACGGCGTCAGGGCCGTAGCAAGGGTGAGGCGACTGAGGCATTTGCCTCGGGCGCCAATGAAATGGGGGCGCTAAACTTTGATACATTTTTTAAATCAAAATATTGTTTTACCAATATAGTACTTAGGGAGCATTCAAAAATGTCTTACTTAAAAAAATATATTTAACTATTAAATTACCTAAACCTAATTGTATTATAAGTTTAATGTATGTACATGTACCTACTATGTTCAGTATCTTTTGCATTTGAAAATTATTCTTCTACTGTTATTATTGTGATTTCATATTGAATATTCTACGAAAACATTGTACATTTGTACGTTGTAACGGAATTGAATTATCGTTATGCAATCAGTCTATTAGTATAATAGTATCTATGGCATATGTGATAAACATTTATTTTGGTAAATCCCAGCCGCAGCCGACAACCGCGGCACCCCTAGACCATAGTCCCATTACTGATTAGTCTAGGGTTCGGGACTTGTTGCATTTGCATATTGCTTAATAATGACTGCAGAATAGTCCAAGTAAGATTTAAATTTGTTTTAAGTCATAACGGATTGAAATACAAAAATTTTAATTGCATATTTTTGCATATTTTGTCGTTTTCTGAGCAAAATGCATATTTGACAAATTTTGGCAGTTTAATTGTTATTTACAGCATATTTACGCAGTTTTTGTTTTACGTTAAGTACATTTATTTTAAAGGTTAACTTTATTTTTTTTTTATTTTCATGCGGTGTTCAATATCTCTTTTCTAATGTCTAATTGTACAGTCAAACTTTATAGGTAAACAATTCATCGTTTTTATATTAAATTATTATTAAAGAAAAACCCAACCTTTTTTTTATTGTAGGAGAAGACGAAGAAAATGAAATCGAACATACACTTCAGTAATATAATGTTGATAGTGTTATTGTAGTCAAAAAATGACTAATTACAAAAGAAGGTCTAAATTTAAATGAATAAATCAAATTTTTTAATTTAAAAAAAAATATTCAATTGCATATTTTTGTGCATATTTCGGTTATTTTAAGTGCATATGTGCATGCATATTTCCTATAATTTGTGTGCAATAAGTCCCGAACCCTACGAGTGATTACTCATCAGTCAAAACACTCAAAACACGCTCACCACGAACACATTTATTATATTTATACTGGCCATCGCCCATCAGTCTGCATTTCTGCAATTATCACTATCACTCTGCACTTATTCAAATATCATACTCTGTTAGCATGCCTGCATGCGCCACTCAATTATTCAACTAACAGTTTAAGTATTAAGTAGACAAGTAGTACAACACTACGACTCAGTACGACACGACACAATCGGACAACCGACTACCTAACCGAACATCCATTTTGTAAGTTGGTAAGTAGTTGTTTATTTTAAACTTAAAAATCTAATGAACTATTATAATTTATAATAATACTTAATAGGTACGAATAATAATAGGTATCGCCGTATCGGTAATCGCCGCGTATCACTCCGCCACCACCAACCGGCTTACACACTCAAACATGTACAACACATTATTCGTTATTTATATTGTTTTTTTTTTTTATTATAATTATAGCAATGTAACATATTGTCATCTGTGAGTTATATAATATCATCTACGATGTACGTTATATTGGGCGTGAATCGCCGTTTTTAGTATAAATTTATTGTCGTTGTTATTCGTGAAGGTCGGTCGGTGAGTAGAAGTGAGACGCAAACGCGAAGTATTTTGGTGATCAGGCATAACGGCCTATTATTATCCGTAATAATCAAATATAGGTATATAATAGTTTAACATTTTACAAATGATGATTTTTTTTTTTTTTTTGACGGAAGGGGCGCATATACTCAAACTTGCCTCAGGCGTCAACTGAGCTTGTTACGGCTCTGTACGGCGTATTCGTTATTAAGCAAGTAGCACGCTGAGATATACACACACGGCACACGACTTACGACTAATATTATGATTCAGAATTCAGATTATATTATTTTATATCGTATGGTGTTCATACAAAGGAAATATCAGTTGTCACAAGTATATTCAATATACAAATCAGTCACTTTTATCGCATACGGTAAGCTTAGTGCTTACGAGTTGTCAATCATTATCGGATTTTCTAATCGTAACCAATATCCAGCATTACTTTGTATCGGACGAATAAAACAAAAATAACTTTGTATCGTCATATAATTTGAAAAAATATATCTACGTATTAAACTAAAATTATTTAAACATTATTTCAAAATCGGCGTATACTATGCGTGATGCACCCCCCTGACAAAATTCCTGACGGCACCTATGGGTGTATACAAACCTGGTGGCGGACCTGTATAATGAATTTAATGTTTATGCCAACACAAAATATGATGAAGAGTATGTGTGATTAAAATTTCACCGTACAGCTAATAGTCTAATAACCATAATAATAATCACTAAGAATTAAAAATGTTTATTATAATTTACAAGTGAAATTATTATTATTATAAATCAAAGATGTCAGTAAATTATAAATAGGTTTTGCTGTACCTTCTTAAATCTTACAGTTTTATTAATTATTATACAATTAATATAATTAAGTAGTATATTTATTATTTTAATATTTAATTTACAATCAGCCAAATCAAAAATATGTTTAAATAAATAATTTTAAAATTGCTTTATACAATTTCAGACTGTAATATAATAGTTTGTTATATTTTTAAAACTAATGAATAAATTGGTAACAAAATAAAATTTAAAATTTAAAACAATATCACAGACAAAAAGTTAAGAATATAACAAACAATTTATGGTACAAGTATCAATGCTTTATAGACTAATTGATGCTTGTATTATGATCTTGTAGCATGGATAAATTAATTAGTTTCAATTTAAAATTTATATAATATGATATAAATTTACATAGACATTATTATGGTCTAAGGGATGTCATTAAATGTATTTTATTGCAGCTAAGCCAACGTAATTTATGATTGAGCTTTAAGTTAAAAAAATAGGTACTTTCTATAATTTTTAATAATATTATATTAATGTATATTCTATACAACATACAGTGACCGCGCCCGGGGCCCCCAGCTGTATTTCTGTTCTGTTCAGGGGCCATTATAGTACTATAGAATATTGGATATTGAACATTATTATATATTCCCTTATAATTTATAATACTATTATCATTTTATCAAAATTACTGATATAAAGAAAATCAAATACACAAATTGAATCGTATTAATAAATATTAAGTTGTATAATATTATGAGCCTATGAGGCGTATTATTTATATAATTTTTTAGAATTATAATTAATTACTAAGTATAACTATGTAGTTAACTTAAATGTAAATTTTAAATAATGTACTTATAAAAAAAATATTTACTTTTTATTATTTTATGAACTAACATTTTTTGGGGCCCTCCTTAATAAATGCATCTGGGGCCCTTGAAGTACCAGGCCGGTACAGACAACATATTTGTAATGTCTATATGTTAGGCATTTTGTGATACAATTTATTTGTTATTACTTGCTTCTTTTTGCATTGGTACTTAATTGTAATTTTTCAATGAAGTTATTTATTATTATGTTTTTATAATGTTAAATTTGTATTATATAAGCATCCTCATATTACATTAGATTGCTTTACATAGTTTACAACAACTAAAAAAATTATATATTTTTATTTTATCACTTAAGTTTATAATAAATAATAACCTATAAGTATTAAGTATAATTAATACTTATTATATAAGTTTTAATATGTCAATAATTTGTTCAAATAACTAGTTACCTAAGTCTTAATATAATATTTATTATTCTTTAATGTGTTAATGACCAGTTAGTTGATTTGGAGTTAAAATTTTCTATTATCCATTTTTGATCATCATTGTTTTTTTTGCATTTAGTTACATACACTTTTCTGGTACTAATGTCATGTTCCATACATCTAGGATTTTTCCCTTGGACAAGTTTCATTTTACCCTGAAATATTGTACGATAATTGATTACAAAAATAATTTTATAGTTGAATCATAAAATCATAAAATATACATGGTCATAATGCCACAGTTGGTTTCCTCCACCATTATGGCATCCATATAAGCTAATTTTTGCTTTTATTGATGAGTCACTTATATCCAAACACATATTATTTCTTGTTTTAATATCATTCCTCCAACTCAATATAAATTTCTATAAATAAGGGTACAACATTTAATACTTAGTATCACTAACATAGTAATCACTAAATTTTTTAATTATTACTTGATTTTCATCATCATTATCAATACATTCTTTTAAATTGAGCGGGTTTACTAATGTTGCATCTAAACATAGCTCTGGAGCAGTAAACGTTCTTATCTAAAACAATAAATAAAAGTAAATTCGAAGTTACAATAAAATATTATCTTTATAAATAGAACTCAGATTTCCTTCTAACAAGGCCGTTGAGAATTAATGATGAGTGGAGGGGGGATGTGAGTAACTTTGTCGACTTCAGTAAATAAAAAATTCTAAAACATAAAATGTTTTCATATCAAAAATTGTTTGTGAATTTTAATGACTCGAAACCATAATAATATTTAAAATTCATAATTTAGTAAAAAAAATTTTTGTCAGTTCAAAACTGCTCAAAAAGAGTCAGAATATTTTCAAAATTGTATGGTGTATAGGAAATGCTAATAAAATTAGCATTCAGTGAAATTTTCATGTATCTACAGTTATTCGTATTCAACAAAATAAGGAAATAGCTAACTGAGAAATCGAGTGAATATCAAATTTTGTAAAAATTTGACTTTCAAACTCTCATAAAAATTTAATTTGACTTTCTTATAGACATTTTTTTTTTTGATTAACGTAGATAATCTTATAAGGAATCTTGTATTAAATTTTAAAATCTTAGATATAAAAAGAAAAATTTTTATGAATTCTTAACTCAAAATAATTTGCTAATTTTCATGATTTCTCCATATTCTGTCAATATTTGAACTTTAAATGCTTATAAAAAAAAACTGTGACTAAGGATTTTTAATATTTTTCAAATGTCAATGTAACAATATAGTAGAAGCCTTCTATTAAATTTTCAAGCTTTTTTAACCAACAAATAAAATTTTATTGATATTTCTAGAAAAGAAAACTAAAAAAAAATGGAAAATGAAAATGTCCCTTAGAAAATGTTATCGTGTATAGAAAATGCAAATATAAACAACCAGTAAAAATTTCATTTATCTACGGTCATTTGTTATAATGTTACACCAAAAACCAAATTAAATTTTGTGAAAAATTGATTTTGCGTACAAATCCACATTTTTCCTTAACTTTTTTTGGTTTTTCTTGGCGCTATTGAAAAATACTGGGAATTTTAAATTTTGGCCTCTCTGATGCACCAATGATATTCACTTTCCCATCGAACAAGATACTGAAGTTGAAAATCGAAGCATTATTTCGACTACTTATTGTGTACACAGACACAAAAACAAAAAAAAATAATAAAAAATATATAAAAACATGCATCATTGTAAAATCAATACATTCATAGTTCCACTCAGAATCTAAAACTAGTTTCTACAGCCTATTTCTACAGCTGGCTGTGCCTATTAAACTGAAATATAAGAACAATTCAAAAATATTAAAATTAATATAAAATATGATTGATTTTTGCTTTTAAATAAAATGAATGTATCCAAATATTTTTTATAGTACCTACAAAAATGTAGTTTATTCCCAAATATTAAAAATTAATTATTTTAATCTAAAAGTTCTTGTGTTTATGTAAATGTATGTTTACCTTTCCTTTAAATACATCTGGTGGTTCAATAGGCGGATATTTTTCAACTAAATCAAATGCTACTTCATGTATGAACCATTTAAATGGTTTACATTTAAGATTTTCCCTTATTTTTTTCTGCTTAGTTATATCTCCAGTATTAATATTCCTGTAATATGGTCTACGGAGATACAAATATTCAGCATACTCATCCATCCATACTTCTGCTACACGGCGATAATTCTAAAACAATTTTTCAATACTTAATTAAATAATAAATATATGACCATTGTTTGCATAATGTTGTTAACATTAATAACATATTCACTATTTTGTTTAATTTTTACTTTCATCATATTTAGAAGTAATAATTTTCTTAGATTAATAAAACTGATAAAAATGTATTTAACTATAATTAAAGTTTAGTATATTATATAATTATCTTACTAATAAAAACATTGAAACATTTGTCACATAATTTATAAATTTTGTTAAACAATATTTAATTAAATAATATAAGTAAATTCACCTTTCCAACAAAATCACCAATGCCAGGATTTGGGAACGGTGCAAACTTTCTATAGATGTGGCCTACCCTTGAACAAGGTGCATCTAAAATAGTACCACCACATTGCCATATTTTAAATGATAATTCATATTGTTCTCCACCCCATATGTCTAGACCAGGGTCATAACCTCCAAGTTCCCAAAACCATTTAGCTGATATAGCAAATAAACCACCTGCCATTACAGGGCTCCTATAAAAAAAATAAACTAAACTATGAAAAGTATATTATATAATAGTATTTTAACATAAACTGGACAGACCAGTAGCGGAACCAAGGATTAATTTTTTTTTTTTTTGGGGGGGGGGAAGTACAAAAATTGGCTCAACACAGTGTAAAACATAGGGAAACTACAGTGATTAGAGGGGGGGGACAATGATCCGCTACTGGGACAGACTACACTAAATGTATTAAAGTTATAATATTCAAAAGTGTACGTCTGTAACTTTAAAAAAAAAAAACAGTTATACACTATAAATTATGTAGAAAATATTAAAATATGTTTGTCAGTACTTTCTAAACAATTTAATTTAAATATATAGGATGATTCATCAGGCATGCTCATGGGCAATTTGTTCTTTAATTATATTTTTATTCAAATTCTGGTGAATGGAATTTTCATGATTCTATATTTTAAAATTCAGATGAAATTCTATAACATAGCTTAGGAACCTAGAAACTGTTTTCTTTATAGTAATGGAAAAATAGAACATTTTTATATATTAACTATCACGTTTTTTTTTTAATTACAAGCAATTATATCTAAAGTTTAAAACCATTAATAAACTACAATTCTATGCTCTAAGAATGGTGCTTTCGTTATATATAAAATACATGAATTTTAATTGCTAAAATCATCGTCTAAATAGTCTAAATAGATGTGTCTAATAAATCAAAGATTTTTTTTTTGAATACATCAACATTTAAAAAAAATTTACAATTCACAGCAAAAAGGGTTATTTTAATTTGTAAAAAGGGTTTTAAATACCACAGGACACTTCTTAAATAGCATAAAAACGTTTACGAAAACATGGTATGAAAGTATAATATGTACTTATAAATTCCAAAAATCAAATTTTGAATATATACTTAATTAAAGAATAAAATGAATGTAATCATGCTAGGTGGAATCACTCTGTATAAAATATTAATTATATTGTTTATTATTTAATGACAAAGTACCTCCACTGAGAGGTCTCTCCACTCTGTACTTCTTGTAATTAATTATCATTTAAGCATATTGTTCAATGCATGTAATAAATAGCCTAAATAAAAATTGTGTTTAAAAAAAATGTTGTCTATTGTTGTAAGTAGATATTACCGGAACGGTTTGGTAGGATATAATAGATCTTCAGGTAAAAGTGGTAATCTTTTGTAAAAAAATTCCCAATCAAATGCACCTCTCGCACCTTCATCTTGTGCTCGATATTCAAAGGTTTCAAAAGCAATGACATCAATGAATGGACACACACATGTTCGATAATCTTCAGTAATAGGTTCTGCAAATTAAATTATATTATGAACAATATTAAATTGTAGTCATATTATATTTAATACCGTAAAATAAAATTGTATGTGGGTACATACAATATATATTATTCATAAGAAATATCATACCTAAAAGGGGAGGTAACCAGTTAACATTTGCTTCTGTATGCGAATCTAAAAATATTAAAATTTCACTGGTGGCTTTTCTAGCTCCAGCTAAACGAGCTCTAATTAAACCTTGTCTTTTTTTCAAGTGTATGATTTGAACAGTATCAGCTAAGTTGTTTGATAAAAAATTATCTAATGGTCTCTTTAAACTAGCTAGAAAACATCAAAAATATATTTTATTCATAATAAAAGAATGATTTGTTTAGTAGGTAGGTTAGGTACTCATCAATAAGTTTAAGAATTTAATTTTAGTGATAAAATAATAAAACAAATTAGGTATATATACCTTTTGTACTTGAATCATCCACTAAAATTATTTCTTTAAGTAAGATTTTAGGAGAACGGTTTAAGACACTATACACAGTTCTGAGAAGTGTTGAGAAATGTTCATTATGAAAAGGTATAACTACACTAACCGTAGGTAATTTACTATTATATTTTTTAAAACGACACCTGTAAATCAATATAAAAATAAATATTTCAATGTATGAAAAACAGATTAAATAGTGTGTCCACAAAAACAGGATACAATTTAATTAAACTACCCATATTATTCAATACCCTATACATATTTTTAAATTCTATTTGCGGTACATGAAACTAGATTATTGGATCATAAACCTTCGCAGACGGAATTCTAAAATATGTATTGAGTACTGAGTAATGTACCTAGGTAACTGAGTTAAAGTGTACCCAGTTTGTGCGAACACACAGTATATGACATGGGCAGTGGCGCCCAGGCGGGTAAAAAAGTAATACATCTACAATATTGTATGCATTCTTAAAAGGGGATGGGTATAATGAGGTCATATAAAAGCTTAAAAAATATTATAATAATTAATTTTTGTCGTTTTAGAGCAGTGAGAACGATTTTATACATATCAAAAATAAGGGGTGGGTGGTAATACTTTTGTCAACTGCATATGATCTCCAAATTTCTCTGTGCGCCACTGGACATAAGTATATGAAGAAATAATATTTAAACCCTGGGAAAAAATTACAATTTGTGTCGTATATCTGGTATTGAGCGATTAACAGATATGCTGTCACTTAACAAAGCGTTAAATCCATTTACTTTATACAACTCAACATATTTATGCCGATTGAGTGATGAGAGTGAAGCGCTAACTCCTTGTTCACCAATACCTAAATATAATTAAATATACTAACATCAATATAATACAATAAAACCAAATTTATTCCACTTTATTACCAGTTCGTTGTTTCTCTATATTAGTCAATTCCCAATCATGCCAGTCAATCTTATTATTATGATTTCCATTTGCATATAACTGTTTGTCAAAATCCGTCTTCTGGTGTATAGTTTCATCATTTTCATATCGATGAAATTGAGTAGACAATTTAAAAATCACAGTTGTTACAAGTGCAGTGATCACGACGAAAATTAAATACTTTAGTATGCTTTTATGATTTCGTTTCATTCTGACTTTGGACTTGGAAAGCAACCAGTCATAATAAATAATAATAATATATTATTTTCTACCTACCAATATTTAAATACCGTACTTGATTACAAGTGACAAGCAATGTGGTACGTGTACCTAGCACAAACTAAAGAAGTAGGTGACGTTTAGTTCCCATAGCAATATAAACGTTATGAACAATTTACTATTTAGTAGTAAAATTGAAATATCGAGAATCGACATAAATTAATAATGACTAACAAGTAACAACGGATGGCGGTGACGAAAGATAAGCAGAGAAGTGCATTTTCAAAATAGATACGCCACAACGGTATTAAATATCGCGACAAGGCGTAGCTGGTTCGGCAATCGGCAAGCCGCCCGCCCGGCCATCCAGTAATAATAATATAATAATAATATTATATAATATATTTATATATATTATATTTTATATTATTCTATGCGCCCGGCCAACACGCGTCGAGTCTCCCACAGCCGCGGTTTCTCTTTATCACAATTATTTGCTTTATCTTTACTCAATGTTTTATCATCAATAATGACGAATCATGACATTATGACAAAACCATGAAGACTTTATAGTTTACTAGCTCTAAGTGTAACTCGGGGCCCGTTGGACTCGCTGGGAGTGGGTACCGATTTTGGAGACAATGAATTATAAAAGTCGCAAAGGTTGTAAGCATAGAGTAATTACTCTATGGTTGTAAGACGAAAGTTTAGGATTTGTGATAAGGATTAGTGATATGGATTGGAGATAAGGCTAGACGCTTTGGCGGGAATGTTAAAAGTTTGAGCGTCTAGCAATCAGTCACAAACGTTGTAAATGGATAGGTTGGATACGATCTCCAGGATCACCTATAAAGAGTATACCTGCACATAGAGTGGTATGTGCCGTAGCATGACCGGTGCTTTATCTTATGTAAAAACTAAAAAGTGTAAAGTCGAAAACCGTGTTGGAGTTTCTAGCAAGTCAGTCATCTCAAGTCAAAATCTTTTAACTTTCAAGTTAGCCACTTAGGTAGGCAATCCGACTTCGTCGGATCGCGGACAATGTGCTACAGCAAATCAGGTAGGCAATCCACCTGCGGTGGATTGCGGACCCGACATCAAGCGGCTATAAGTGAAAACCCTATCACACAACTTACGAAATAATTTACGAAAAATTCAAACTATATACAATATACATACAAACAAATATGATATGTATTTATTGTGTGATATAATATAACAATGAACATTTTAAGAAATGTGCAATTATAATTCCTAAAAAAAATAACATATAGGTAGATACATGCTATTATATTAACCAATACAATACATATAAACATGTAACTATAGTGTATAATATATATTAGGTAATTTAAAAAAAAAATTACCAGTACGCGCGCGGGAAGTTAAACTTCTTTTGAATGGTACACGTGAGTGAGTGAAAAAGAAAGAAAAAAATATTAATTAATTTAAAAAATGAGAAGAAGTATCCGGAATTATTTATTATTGATAGTTTTATTATTTTTTTTATATTTTTATTCGGCAGATCGATGGATAATTGTTTGTAGTATTGTTTTTATCCAGACAATAGATTTGTGAGTGAATAATAATAATAATAAAAATAAATAATAATCGATCATTAATTATTCATATTAATTAGTATGGGCCAAGATAGATGAATCTGTTTTTTATTTTGCAACGTTTATATAATATTAACGACCATATTAACGACATACTTATTACATTATTTCCTCACTACCCTACGTAAAGAAGTATAACTTCAAAATGCAAAAACCTGCATGTTAAAGTGTCTATCAAGTCAATCATCACCGTTTAAGACGAAACTAAAATGAGCAATCCGTCTATCACCTATATATAGTAGGTATATCACATAGAGTGGTATGTGCCTTCGCATGTCCGGTGCCTTTTCTTATGTAAAAAGTGTAAAGTCGAAAACCGTGTTGGAGTGTCTAGCAAGTCAGTTATCTCAAGTCAAAATCAAGATTAACTTTCAAGTTAGCCACCTAGGTAGGCAATCCGAAATAAAATACAAACTATATTTATACCTATAACAATCATGGAAATTTTAAAAAATATGCAATTATAATAATTCCTAATAAAACAAATATAATATGTAACTATTTATTGTGTGATATAAAATGATAATGACTTTAAATAATAATAATGTACGATATGTTCCTGTATTATTATATTATTATTTAATTTATATGAAAAATAACGTGAAAAAAAAATGCAAAAAAAGTCGGGATTCGGGCGGCCGTGTAAACCATATGGCATTAACGGTTCCAATGCCCGGGCGGCGTACGACGGATTCGAACCCGGGACCTACGTGTTTTCTACCTAACGCCTAACCTACTCGGACACAGTTTGAGATACGAAGGACAGTGAAAACATCAACAATTAAGCCGTGCGACTACGGAGCGACGTAAACCGATATAATATTCGATGTACATCGATATAATTCGCTTGTAATACGCGCATCTCCCATATATATATTTAACGGGGCGTGTGAAAGCGTTTTCCGTTAATAATTATTAAATCATAAGGAAAAATTAAATTATACACGTATATACATGTATATATACGCGTACGGCCGGTCGGTCGCCGGCGTAATTTCCAAACGCGATTGCGAGGCGAACGAACCGATTTTGGGGGAAAAGCGCATATAAACGGCTTCAAAAAGACTCGATTCGGGCACAAACGGGTGCGAATAGACGAAACGGTGGGAGAAAAGGAAAATATCGGCAAAAAAGTCCGGTCGGGAGTGTATTTATTGATCGACATTGCACGAATATAAACCGCACACTGGTGGCTTCGAATTAAGTATATAAAAGGGCGAAAAGATATCGTGTAAAAACAGCTAATTTTCCGAAAATCGGCGAAATGATAGGAAAAGAGGTGATTTTAAAACCGACCGCCGCCACTGCGAAGGTACGCGATTGGTTGCTATAAGGAATCGACGGGACACGGCCGGCGGGCTGGGGAAACGGAGCAGTGCTTCATTTTTTACGCCATGGGTTCGCTATAGCCGGCGTTTTCCTTTCCATTGGTACACTATAGACAGCTGATTTCCTTGTCAGGATAGATAAGAATATCCCACAATTGCCACAAAATATGCATAATAAGCAAATACTATATATTTACTATTTAGGTAGTATTTGTAATAACTATTACATTATTAAGTATTAACTATTAAGTATTAAATAATAACACTATTAAAATTTAAAGTACACGACACGTACACTTTAGTAGGTAAACACAGTTAGCTAGGTATACGAGCTGTGGTAGAAACATAATATAGACTGTAGTTATCACGAACTACTACGGTCTACGAGTGACAGTAGTCAGTAATCCGTATTCCGTGTATAGGCTAGCCCAGTGATGGGCAAAGTACGGCCCGCGAAAGAATTTCATCCGGCCCGCCGAGGGTCCATCGACACGGATAGTATAAAAGTACAGTATAAAAAAATTCCCGAAATATTCTGAAAATGATCGAAGAAAATAGTTTTAAATATATAAATGGATTGGCGCGGACTGTGAGTGGTCGTACCCTCATAGCGTGATGTAGGTAGATAGTAGGTACTATAATGAGACTTGGGGTTGTCTGAAATCATTTAAAACTCCTCTTTTTCTGTTTTATTACTGCATGGCGAAGGACGATTTAACTCACTTTCTGCGTTTAAAATCCATGTCACCAGTGAGTGAGAATAAACTAAAAGAATTCAGTCAGGCGTTGAAAAAACTTCACACAGAATTTCAAACTAGGTTTCAAGATTTTAAGAACATTCAATCATCACTAGATGTTTTCTCGATACCGTTTAATGTAGACCCAGAAAATGTATCTGCAGAATTGCAGTTGGAAATATTATTGAAATGCAGTGCAGTACCCATTTGAAGCAATTGTTTTTGAATTCCACAAAACTAGATTTTTATAGAGCACTTCCGAAAGCTGAATTCCCAAAGATAATTGCTCACGCCCAGAAAATTATGGCGATGTTTGCGTCGTCTTATGTGTGCAAACAGACTTTTTTGACCATGAAATTGCGGAAAAACTCAATCAGAAACCGATTGACTGATGAACACCTTTTCGCACTGTTGAAAGTTGCTTCGTCATGGATGGAACCTGCTTTCGAAAATATTATGGAAGATCAAAAACAATTCCATAATATGTCTCACACGCCACCATGGTTGGGCCTTTGAATAAATGTTTAATTAATTATTATTTAAATTTTAAGGTAAAAGGTAATTCGAACATTTGTGTGTAATGCTGCAATGTTTTTATAATATTATATGATTCAAAGCTTTAAGACAAAATGTATTTTTTTTTTTTTTCTATAATTTTGGCCCTTCTCTAGAATTTCTTAAACAATGTGGCCCTCCATTAAAAAAGTTTGCCCACCACTGGCGCTAGCCTAATAGAAATATTCTACCATTCTTCTCTATTCATTGCGAATCTCTTTAATTCTTTATATGACTATCTTGTGTTATATAAGATATAAAGATATCAGTGCCGTCACTGGTCGTAATTAATTTTCTAAAAGTGTATTACCTACTACTTACTACGGTAGTAGTAGGTATTTCATTGTGTTTATTTCAGACTTAAAATTCGGTGTGTGGGGATCGTACATTTTAAAAACGATATTTCGGAGCCATAGGAGCAAATAATAGAAAGAAGTAAAGAAAAAAGATTCCATAAAATATTCAGCACAACACTAAATTGGATAAAAAAAAGTTTTTTATATTTTAAATTCTAAGCGGAGTGAGGGATCTATTGGTTTTACGATGTTGTTTGTTTTATTTTTTTTTTAAACCATAGCCGTTACCTAGTAAGTCTATATTTACTTTTAAAATTAGACAATAATCAAAATACCTTTGTAGGTACAAAATATGTTCTTTCATGAAACAAGACCAATTTTGATTAAAAAACTGGCCAAAATGTAAAACCATCTCAAAAAGTTCAGAAACAGTACTAGAATCTAAAAAATTGCAAA